TGTTGAACCTGGTCCCCAACCCCACACCCCAGTCTTGCCCCCATTTCCCAGACTGGAATAAAGCTGCAGAAGTGGAAATTTTACACAGCTGAGCAGCGCTCTGTGACCCTCACACAGCACTGGGGAGACGGCCCCCCACCTCACCCTGCCAGCCCCAGGCCCCAGCCCCACTTTCTCCTCATGCTTGGTGGGATCTTCATCTTGGTGGGTCCACTCTGGCTTCCTCCCACTCTGGCTTCCTCCAGCTCCTTCCGGCCTGAGGCCTTCCCACTGTGGTTCCTTCTTCCTTTTCTCCCCTCCTTTCTCTCCCCTCCCTTCCCCTTCCCTCTCTTCTCTTTCCTTCCTTTCTTTCTTCCCTCCTTCCTTTCTTGTTCATTATTAGGGTCAAATCTAGGTATACTCTACAGTGAGCTACATCCCCAGCCCTTTTGGATTTTTTATTTTGAGACAGGATCTTTCTAAGTTGCCAGTGCTGGCCTCGAGCTCACGAATCTCTTGCCTCAGATTCCTGAGTAACTGGGATTATATTGTGGGCATGTGCCACTGGGCCTGGGCACACAGTTCCTTCTTAAACACTACCTCCATCTCTCCTTATTCTTCCTGTTTTATCCCAAATGTCTGACCTTGCAAAGGTCCTCCCCAAGTTCAGAGTGCCCTGTTTATTTCCAGCAGGGACCAAGACCAGCTCCAATCGCCTTGTGTGTCAGCTGCCTACTCTATCTTCTGTCCCTTCCACTAAAACGCCAGCTGCCCAAGAGCAGGATCCCCTCTATCTTGCTCACTCTCTTGAATGACCACCACCTAGCTCAGTGGACACAGGGTGGGTACTCAATGGATGTCACCGAGTAGATGAATGGATAGAAATGGGCAGGCCGGGTGGATAAGTATACGGAGAAAGAAAGGCTGAATGGATAACTATGGCACATCTGGGAAGAGGCTGCTTGTGTAGCGGCACCCTCATCCGGACCAGTGCAGCTGCTGGTGGGGCTGGGGGCAGGAAATTCTGGGAAAAGCTGTTCTCTCTCCCTTGGAAATGTCCAGTTATACTCTTTGGTTTTTTTTTTTTTT